ATCCCACTGAGGGCAGAGCCCCACACGCTGCCCTGCAGGACAGAGCTGGGCAGGGCAGCAGAACATGTGAGAGATAAACAGAATAAACAACCTGGAAACCAGCACAGACCAATTGTGGCTTCTTTGGCAATGGGGCAAAAAGAAACTTTCTACAATCTCAGAATTATCAATAGCTCACATTCTGACAGGTTCCAGAGGGCTCAGCAAACTGTCCCAGGCAGATTTGTCACTGCTCCAGCAGCAGCTGCTGGGCCTGGTGTCCCTCTGGCTGTGGCAGAGCTCCGAGAGTCCCTCACGGCCCGGCCGGGCTGGGCTGTGTTTGATAAAAGAGCAGATCAGATCGCTCCTGGCCCTGCTGCAGGCCGAGGAGGAGGAAGGTTGGAGCCGTGCCCCGTTTGGCACAGCTGGGCCCTGGCACTGGGCAGCTCTGGGCACCTCCAGGGCACCTCTGGCGTGGGCAGGAGGAGAGCAGTGCCCGGCCCCATGGGCAGGAGCGGGGTTTTCATGGAAGCACCCATGGCTGATGCTGGAAGGAGCCCCTGGAGGGCACCTGGTCCCCATCTCTGCCCCAGGACTGTGCCTAGCCAGATTTTTAATACCTGCAAGGATGAAGAGCACACAACCTCCCTGGGCAGCCTGTGCCAGTGCTCCACCAGCATTAAAAATGTGTTTTCCTGAGGTTCAGATGGCGTTTCAGGTGGTGCCCACGGGCTTTGGGCACTGCTGAGAAGAGCCTGGTTTCATCCTTCCTCCTGGTATTGATGGGAGCTGATGAGATACCTCTGAGCCTTCTCATCACTAAAAATCCCATCTCTCCCAGACATTTCCTCATGGGTGAGGAGCTCCAGTGTTTCCCTCATCTTTTATCAAACTGTCCCCTGTGTGTCCATGCCACTGTGGTAGTGGGGGACACAGCACGGTCCTGCAGGGGCCTCACTGACTTTGGGAATGATCTCTCGCTCCTCCTGCAGCCCAGGGTGCCACTCACCACCTTTTACCAAGGCCACACTGATGGTCACTGGTCACCCCAGTGCCCAGCAGGACGCCCAGCCCAATCTCTGTCCCAGCTGGGTGTCCCTCAGCAAGTGCCTGGGCTTGTCCCTCCCCAGGGCTCCCAAACACCAAGTTCTGCCTCCTTAGGCCAAGGCTGGGGGTCCCACAGCAGTTTCCAGCCCCACCAGTACCAGAGCTGGCCCAGGAATGGACAGAGCAGAGGCCTCAAGGCTGATCCTGGCCCATGTGAGCTCAGGACATGATGACAAGGAAGGAATAATTCCCTCCTCTGTTAAGAAGGAATTATTTTCTGAGCAAGGAATACCCATGGCTGCTGTGCCCATCACTCCTGGAGACATCAAGGCTGGTGGCCCAGGTGGGCAAGAGCCTGATGCCAGCTGCCAAAGGGTGGGCACAGCCTGAGCAGCTCTTTCCTACCTGTCCCAGTGAGTCTGGAGGAAATAAGACCAGCACAGGGAGTGCAGAGTTGTTCAGTGCTTTATTGGGGGCAGGTGCCTGGCAGGGACAGCAGCACAGGGACCCCAGAGCTCACCCACATCAGGGTCTGGGTCTGCCCCAGGCTGGCCAGGTCACGGTGGGAGCTGCTGGAGGGGCACCATCCCCATCTCCAGGTGGTCCAGGATGGGGGTGACGGGGCCACACTGTCACTGCCCTGAGGCTGCCAAGCTCCCACCACCATCCTCCTCCTCCTCCTGGTCTGTCAGCAGCTCTGAGGGGTTGGCACCTCGTTGGGGCAGAGCTCTGGAGGGCTGTTCCTTCTCCAGGCTGCAGCCCAGGCCTGCAGGAGATGGGCAGAGGGAAGGGTGAGGAGCTGGCTGGATCCAACCTCTCCCCAGTGCTGGAGGCACCCGTGGGGATCAGCTCTGGGTCACACAGGGCAGGATGAGCCTGTCCAGGGCTGCACCAGAGACCACCCCACAGGGATGAGGATGGAGAGAACCTTGGGCCCTGGAGGAGAAGTGGCACTGTGGGGCCACGCCTGGGTGTTCAGGGGCACCCAGGGTGGAGAAAAAGAGGAGGAGGCCGCCCAGGAGCACAAGGTGGAGATGGCAAAGCAGAGAGAATGGGCTGGGGGGGGCACTGGGAATGGTGCCTCAGGGGCCATCACCTTCCTCATCCTGAGCCTCTGGTGCCTTCCCCTCTGAGCTCTGGGACAGCAGTGCCAGCCTCTTGAGAGCCAGCAGGGCCTTCCCTGTTTTCTGAAGGGACGAGAACAGGCACTGAGCCCTTCAGCCAGAGGCACCCCCCCGTCCCCATCATCCCAGCAGGTACCTGCCACTTGCGCCGTGCCAGGAACCGCCTGATCCTCTCCTTGGACAGCACCCTGGGGCTGCTGGGCTGGGGCTGCTGCAGCCAGGGGTGCAGCAGAGCCCCTGCACTGCGGAGCCGCCGGCTGCAGCACACAAGGGGTCACGGGGGGCTCCTCCACCCTCACCCAGAGTGCCCCTCCACCCAAGGCAGAGCTTTCCCCCACCCATCCCCTCAGCACTCCAAAACCCAGCCCAGCTCCAGCTGAGCAGCCCACAGCCACCCCAGGCCCTACCAGGGGTCCTTCTGCAGCAGTTGGCTGATGAAGTCCTTGGCTTGCTGGGAGATCTCCGAGAAGGTCTCCTCCTCAAAGTCCCACTGGGCAGCTGTGACGTTGCTCAGGGTCTCCATGTCGGTGTCCCCCTGGAAGGGCGACTCCCCACTCAGCCTGCAGAGGTGACCCAGGGCATCAGTGAGAGCTCAGCCCCCTCCAGCCCAGCCTGCCCAGCCCGGGAGGGCACTCACAGGATGTAGCAGATGACACCAACACTCCACATGTCTGTGGAGAAGCTCACAGGCTCAAAGGCGACCACTTCTGGAGCCATGAATTCAGGGGTGCCATGCAACACCTTCACAGGGGTGCCTGGAGCTGCAGAGAGGGTGCAGGAGGCCGGTTGGGATCTCCCTGGGGCAAGCGGCCAGCTGGGATGGCCCTGGCACAGGGGACACACCGACACAGCCCAGGTGGAGGAGCTGCCACCCTCCAAGGCTGGTTGCAGCTCTTGGTGCTCTCCCAGAGCCCCTCTGTGAGCCCAACACCCACAGGCATGGGGGCCTGGGGGGCTCCACCCCAGCAGTAGGACTGGGGACACACAGCTCTGCCCGGAGCTGCTGGCTGCCAGGAAGGGCCCAGGCAGGAGGACACCAAGCTCCTCGCTGCTGTGCCAGGCCAGACCCTGTCCTGTGGCAGTGCCAGTCCCTGCCCAGAGCCCCTGTGCTCACCCAGCTTCCGTGCCAAGCCGAAGTCGATGATCTTGATCCAGTGGCTGCCGGGGCTGACGCAGACGATGTTCTCGGGCTTGAGGTCGAGGTGCACGATGGCCTGGCCGTGCATGAAGTGCAGCCCCTCCAGGATCTGCCGCACGTACTGGGTGCTGCTGGGCTCCGTGTGCTCGAAGTCATCGTCCACGATGCGCTCAAAGAGCTCCCCACCTGCCACGCTGGGGACAACGAGGGGTGGGGACCCTGTGGGGCCTCCCCGGCCCCGAGGAGGGGAAGCCCCAGCAGAGAACTCGGACTCAGCGCTCTGGGAGCATCTCTTGACCCTTATCTCCATCTACCCCACACCAGCACCCCGTGGTGCAGGGACCCCTCCCCACCTGCCACTGTGTGGACAAGGTGCTGGGGACAACAAGCTGCTGGGGACCCCTTTGGGATCTACCAGCCCTGAGGAGTGGAAGCCCCAGCAGAGAACAAGACTCAGCACTCGGGGTGGACCTCATCGGAGTCACCAGGTTCCCCATCCATCCATCCCACAGCACAGGGACCCCTCCCCACCTTCAGGGCTCCCCCGGCAGAGCCCAGCACTGCCCCACACCTCCAAACCTGACTGCCCCCACTCACTACTCCATCACCATCACCAGCTCGGCGGGGCCCTGGAAGGCGTCGAGGCACTGCACCAGGCGTGGGTGGTGCAGGAGGTTCATCAGCTCCACCTCGGCCCGCGCCGCCTGCTTCTCCTTCGCTGTGCGGGTCCGGAAATATTTCCCAGCCCGGATTCTGCCCGTGGCCTTTTCCTGCAGCCTGTACACAGTCCCGAATTTCCCCCTGGGACAGAGGAGGAGGATGAGGGATGAAGGAGCCACCACCACCCACCTGCAATCCCACCAGGGCTGCGCCTGGACAGCCAGGGGCCATCCCCAGGGGTGGGGACACAGGACCCTCACTCACTCCCCCAGCTTCTCCAGCTGTGTGTACACATCCGAAACCTTGTCCTGGCTGTTGATGACCACGTCACGGTGCTCAAAGGCCTCCTCAGCTCCTGGGGGATGGATTAAGGTGGGCCATGCAGAGATGCCCCCTGCTCTGGGGGCCAGGGGCCTGTCTTCCTCTCCATGCTAATTTCTGTGTCCCTCCTGCTCCATCCCACAACAACCCTCTCCACACATTGTGGATGGCACCTGGGGAGAACGTGGGCATGGGAGCTCCTGGGGCAGCCCAGCACCCTGCAAGTCAGATTTGGGGTAAAAGGTGCTTTTAGGATCAAAAATCCAAGAGAAATGGGGCCAGGATGGGGTGGAGATTGGTACTGATAGAGGGGACGGACAGGGGTCACACCATAGCTGGGGTCCCCTGTGCCTCCCTGGGGACAGAGCCAGGGCTCTGCTGTACCACTCTCCAGTACCTTCTGCCTGGGCCATGGTGGTGCCACCGGCTCCTCACAGGGCACTGGCACAGTCAGGACAGGCGCTGGATGTGTCCCCCAGGCTGGGACAGGGCTGATGGCCGTGTCTCTGCTCCAGCTGCTCCCTGGGGCTCTGCACCTTCTCCCTGCCACAGGAGACCACTGGCTTCACTCCACCAGCAGCCACACTCCCCATCCCCCCAAGGACCCAAAAGGACCAAGCCAGACTTTAAAGCAAGGCCCTTTGCTGGATAGGGACAATCCCTTCCCAGGAGTACCTCAGGCTCCAAGCCAATGTTTTTCCCATGCACTGTCTTACATCAGCCAGGAAATCCCCAGGAAAATCGCACTTGTAGGGCAAAGGAGCTGTTTCCTTACACGTCCCCTCCACGCTCCGTCCCCAGAAAGGTTGGGAGGAGAGACAATGACACCCAAGGGTGTCGGGCAACAGCACCCACAACCCACGCCGGGGGCCACAGCACTGACCTGTCACTGTCCAGTCCCACCTGCGGGTCGCTGGCCTTTCCCTGTCACTGCAGAGCCACTGGGAAGCTGGGAGGGAGGGAAGGGGTGATGCTGCAGGTTGAGGACAACTGGAACCACACACATGGGGATGTCTCGGGGTACAGCTGGGAGCATCCCTCCCTCTCCGTGCTGGGAACAGCCCGGGCTGTCCCCTCCTTTTCCTTCCCAGCAGAGCGCTTCCGGACGTGGGGGACAAACAACCCCCACGAGCTGTCCCCATGCCTCACCGCCCCCCTTGGCACCGCGCAGGGCCACAGGTCTGCAAGAGGAGCCCCAGGGTAGGGGGGCTGCAGAGACCCGACACACCTCATTACACGGCAGAGGCCACCCAGCCCTCCCCTGTGCAGAGTCTGGGGCCTCTCACAGGTTAAATCCGCAGCTGACCCAGCCCCGGCCAACCCCCGCCTCCGTTCCACCCATGGGTGGGTTCGTGCCGAGGGGTTGAGCACCCACACCTGCTCCCCGTCCCGGCTCCACCTGCAGCCAAGATCGCAGCGGAGCCAGCGCTGTCCCCAGCACAAGCCCAGGGCCTCGGCTTCCCGGAGAGCCCAGCCCCGGCCTCGGGGCAGCGGGGCTGAAGGGAATGGGAGCTGCAAATCTACTCCAGGGTGTTCTGGAGGAAAAATGTGTTTCCCAGCTTTTATCCCCCAAAAGCAGGAGCGTGCAGCAGCTCTGGCGCCCGGTGCTGCCGTTTGCCCGGATTTAAAGTGGGAAGAACACCGTGATTTGCCCCCGGAGCTGGCTCCAGAGCCGGGGATCAGGCAGCGGCACCGCACAGGGACACGAAATCCCAGGGGAGCCCGGTGGCACAGCAGCCGGGACAGAGGGGTGTCACCTGGGGTTACCTGCTGTCCGCAGCCAGGTCTCGGGGAGCTTTGGGGCGATGCCAGCGCCTCCGGACGGGTCCCAGCGCCGCTCCCAGGCTGGGCTCAAAGTCCACGGTCTCCGGCAGGGAGCAGGGGACAAACGTCCCCAGGGCAGTGGCGGGGTCAGCGCGACATCGCTGTGCCTTTGTCACCGCGACCTCGCCGGCGGCGGGGCAGAGCCGGGCCCGGGGTCCCCCCGCTCCCGGGGCCGAGGGATGTGCGGATGCTCCGGGCTCGGCGCCGCGCCGGCGCTCGGCTCGACCCCGCTGGGATATCGACTGCGGGGACACGACAGGACACGGGGGTGGCCGGCTGGGCCAGGCAGCTGGAGCACGGCTGGGTGGTCCCGATGGACGCGCAGCAGCCCTGAGCCGCCCCCGGGGCGGGCTGGGGCCGGGCGGGCGGCGCTGGGCACCGGGACAGCCCCGGAGCGCGGGGGATCCCGGCAGCCGCTTGATGTCAGTGTTGGCCTGACGCTGCTCCCGACGGCAGCGGAGAACGGAGAGAAGAAAGATTTGGGGTCTGGGGGATCTGTGGAGGGCCGGCAGCACCCACGTCCCTGCGGGATGTGTCGGGATGGAGCACCCGGAGGGTGAATCCCCCGGGAGCCGCATCCCTGTGCACGGAGCATCGCTTCCATGCGGCATCAGCAGCAGGGAAAGCTGTCTCGGGGGCAGGGATCGACAGCAGATCAATCCAGCCTTCGGGACTGCCTCGGTACCGACAGCGTTCCAGCCACCGCCCGGCGCCGTCCCACACCTTTGCCTTCGGATTTGGGAAGGTGGCCTTATCCACCACGGACACCATCTCCTTGTGCCTCATAAAATTAATTAATCTACTTAATTAATCATTAGTAGGCACACCCAGGCAGCCATTCCAGCTTTGGGAATCAAGGTGTCCCCATCTGCCCGGGAATCCTCTGGCACGGCCGGGATGGGATTCCCAGGTGACTCCCCCACCCCAAACCCACTCGTGCTGCCCATGGGGTGCCCACCAGACCCCCCAGTTCACCCTGGCCGCCCGTGCAGCCCCTTCCCCTCTGGGCTGAGTCAGGACCCTGTGTGCAGATTCAGCTGCCTCTGGTTTTCTGTAGGTCCTGCCATAAACGGTGTCACCGCAGGGCTCAGGGTGCTGAGTGACAGCACGGGGGGACGGGGTCACAGCTGGCTGTCTGTCTGTCCTTGATCCCCTTGTGCTGAGGGACGGGCTCGATGGCCTCAGGGGGACATGGCCCCTGCTCCCTCTTATCCCAGGGGGACATGGCCTCTATTCCCATCCCTCAGGGGGGACACGGCCCCTGCTCCCCATTTCCCTGGGATGGAAAACTCAGCACGTGTGTGTGGGGACATGGGGACATGGGGCACAGGGAACACAGGGGCACATGGAGAACATGGGGCACACCAAGGACATGAGCAAAGGGGACACCATGGGCATGGGGACACAGGAGGGGACTC